AATTACTCTTTCTGGGTCACAAAATTTTAACATATTTTCAGGTGAGAATGTATGTGTGGCAACTTCAAATATCGGCTCGGTTTATCAGAAAGTCACATATTTATAAAAGTGCTATGATGAATTCGGAGATGTCTGTTACCCACCAGCTCGATAGCTGACCAGGTGATCAAGGCTCACTAGAGCCAGCAAGAACACTGGACTCCTGGAACATCGTTTTCAGATCCTGCGCTGTCTATCGCTACTCAGATTATACATGATATACAAGTCACGTAGATAACTTGTTATTGTTTGGGGTTTTTTTTCAGTGTTTTATTTGTTCCTGAGTAAATTGGTTTGGCTGAGATTAAAGTTATAGTTTTCACACAGCTGAATAAATGTCAAACAGAAAACTGATTACACAAAAGTGTGAGATGGCAGAGAATTTACTCCAGTGTCCTGTTATATTTTAGATAACAAGGAAACTCCACCGGGACAGCCGTGACACAGATCTGAAGGCTAGACCGTCCCATTTCACAGCCTCGCACTTCCGGCCTTCTAGGTTTTTCGGAGAACCCGGCCACGTAGACCGCAAAGTCTTCACCATCAAAAGGAACTCAGAAACGTTGGCAATTTCTGACAGGAAGCGGAGGTCTGGCAGACTCAAAGCCACAACTGAATCAGAGGACGTTTCTGAGAGTTAACAGCTTGTATGATAGGCAGCTCACAGGACAACAGCTTCAATCACAGCTTAATAGTGTATAGTAAGCAAGTCTCAGTTTCAACTGTGAAGAGAAGACTTGAGCTGCAGGTTTGACAGGACGTTTGCAGCAAGAAAGCACTGCTAAGACATCAGAATAAGACAAAGAGGCTTGCCTGGGCCATGAAACACCGACCATTGGACTACTGAAGACTGAAGAAGGTATTATTGGACTGATGACGAAATGTACATAATTATTCAGTTTTGGATAACCTTAGCTTTTCTTTTTCTTTTTTTACCCCTGGCAGTTCAATACTTAAATTTGTACCATTTCAAGCTATTCAGTTCAAATCAATTCAGTTCAATTCAACAAAACTATTGATCTCAAAGATTGGCCCCGAAGGAAATTGGGTTAAGGCTGCCGGCCTGCTTTGTCACCTGCTTTGACAATCTTTGGTCAAAGCAGGTGGCCTTGAAGGAGGGGGAAGCGAGTCACAACAACAGTCTTGTTATCTAACGGAGAATTTTGTTATTCCCGTCAGCTTTTGGCGCCAGGGGGACCGCATGAGATGAAGATGGAAGTTGTTTTGGTTAGTGCGAACAAACTACATCCAATTTTACAGTAGTCTAATGTCCGTCACTGGTCAACAGGTCTCTCAGTTCCCGTTGCAGAGCCATGAGCTTCTCCAAGGTCTTATCCATATTGCCTTCAATAAACACAGTCTGAGTACTCAAAGCTCTGCCCATTGTCTATCATGTCGGCCAGCCTTGTGGGATTTTGAACAGGTCTACCCGCTTCTTGTTCTTCGATAAGCCAGGTCTTAGCCAGCTCCATTCAGCCAGAACTCTGTTATCGTGGTTCCGAATTGGTAGATGTCGCTCAATGTCCTCCATCGAGAGTGTTGCCAGACACACGACACAACCAACCATCGAGTATCCGGCAGCAAACGTCTCCACAGGACAATTGGGCTCTCCCAAGCCTCTCGTCTTCTTGACGAGAGGCTGGTTAAGGGTTAAGGGACCAGTTGATCAAATCCATAATTCTTCTTTAGGTTTTTAGAGAACATGTCTGGGAGACTCTGAGGGTTATAGATAGGCAAGACTGTACAAAAGACATGAAAGGCCAAGCAGGAAAGATAAGGGAGGGAGAAGGAGAAAATGCGACCGCCTCCGTCAAGAGCCAAGAAAAGCTGAAAAAAAACTTGAACAGACCTGAACGACTTGAATTGCAATAAATAACTGGAAAAATTGGGGTGTTCTAAAACTTTTGACTGTTAGTGTATATTTATTTGAAAAATGGTCCATTTAACAACTTTCAGAACTTTTTTGCTTTTGCACATTTAAATCTGAGGCAATATTTGAACAGTGTTTGAATATCTCACAAATTACAAAAGATAAAATCCTGAAATCTTTTACTGGGCTTTATCATCAACATGAATCAGGATCTGTAATTTGGAAAAAGTATATTAAAAAAAGAGCAGCACGGTGGCACAGTGGTTAGCACTGTTGCTGCACAGCAAGAAGGTCCTGAGTTCAATTCCACCATCAGGCCGGGGTCTTTCTGTGTGGAGTTTGCATGTTCTCCCCGTGTTTGCGTGGGTTCTCT